GCGATTTTATGAGGCACTCGCGGAATACAGGAGGAGAATGCAGTCGTGTCCGCTCTCTTGGGCATCCGGACCTGAGCACCTGCGGCGGAGTGGCGAGCGCGCATGCGTCCGCTGCGGGTCCGCCAGGTTCCTGTCTCCGCAACCAGGCGCGCCCCCGGGGCTGCGGCGCTCCCGGCCCATGGCCCCCGGCGCCGCGCTAGCCCAGGGATCGCTGTAGCCTGCTGCGGGCTCCTTTCACCGGTGAAGCGACTCCGCTCTTTCTCCGAAGCATCTTCCTGCGCGCGTGGGGCTCGGGGCTTGGCGAAGGGCGGGAGGACAAGAGCGCGGTCTCGGGGAAAAAATGGGACTGGAGCGCCCGTCGCTCGTTTCGTGGCAACTCCGGCTCTGTCCGGCACCGCTTTTAGTTGTATAAGGAAAATGAGTTTTCGCGTTCGGGCTCTGGCAGGGATTAGCTTTGGTGTTCACTTGGAACCCTCCACCTCCCCAGAAGAGTGAGGGAGTGATTGGCAGTGCTGAAAACTCTAATATCGGGAGTGACTCTCTTCAAATTAGAGAGGTTTGTAATTTCGTTTTGATTTTTCCAATAGTACATTGTAATCTATGTAGGGGAGAGACTTTGCTTAAATGAGCCGAAAGTGCACTCCCTTTTTATTTGCGGGAGTTTAATGGAGTGATTAACTAGAAGTCCAAGTTCACCTGATTTAATGATGCAAAAGGCTTCCTGCGACGGCTGCGTTGGTCTTTAAGAGTGGAGTTAATGCTTTTCTTGCTGTCTAGTAATTTCAAGTCTTTTTCTGCTTATGAATACAAGAAAAGAGGATGTAACAGGAACAACTGCTGCTTGATCCTAAATGGGACTATCGCTATATCAAGTTAAGCAGAAGGAGGAGGACTACATTTTTGAACATTCTAGGAAAAACGGAACGGGTGAAGGACATTTATATCTGGTAAATATTCAGTGGTGTTGGATTTTCTTTTTTAAGATCAAAATATACGTTGATTTAGTTACTTGTGTTATACAAGTACGTGCTACTTCTTTTTAAGGAGGGGACTTAAAAAACACAGTAGAAAGGGCAACAGATTATCATCCAATTTAGATGACACAACAAAAAAAAAATGGTTGTGAATTAGTCATAGCATTTGTTCTATTAGATTCCCGCAATGATTGTTAAAAGCCTGGCTCGGTCCAGATCTTTTTTTACCAGTTTACTGATGGTGAGGCGAGTTGAATGGTGAAAAAGCAGAAGGCAGATGGGTGAAAGCCTTATTGATAGAAGCTGCTATGATAGAAAAATCCCACCTGAATTGAATGGTTTTATATTAATGGTTTTGGGTTTAGCATATCATTCGAATGATTAAATCGTTTTCAGTAAATTTTCACTGCTGGCGATACTATTACTACTAGTTAATTTGAGTTATCTTTAACCAAATTTTTAATAAACAGATGGAGATACCAGCCCAGTTAAGTCCTGCTTGAGATGTTGCAAGCTATTGTTAGCTTTATGAAACGATCACTTCAGAAATGGTTACTTAGGCAGGCTGATAGCTTTTATTCCATACTGTAGGTTTGGTTTTAAAGACAGTTAACATAATGACCACTGGCTTCCAGTTCCGAGACTTTTCCAGCTATTCACCGCGACTGTCCCAGTTAATCAAGACAGATGGATAACTGCAAAAACAGACATTACAAGAGCCAGGATGAAGTGTTTTACTTTACGCCAGCTACTGTCACTATAAACGTTCAGCGACCATCATTTGACCTATTGCATTCACTATTCTAATCAAATTTTTGAATAGGGGTTGTTTTTGCATTCTTCTTGTTGGTTTTGTGCAAAAGGTTCTTGAATAGTGAGTCACCGATACTACTAAAATGCAAGGTTGTAGATACCTTTTCATTTTAGAAATAAGCAGCTCTCTAGTGCAGACATTGATCAAAATGACGGGTGCATATCCTCTAAAAACACATAATGAAACTTAAAATAACAGATGTTATCGACAAGTTTATCCAATTTTTCATATATTATGTCTTGTATGGTATATTGAAGGTCTCTTTTGCTTTGAATCCAGAAGGTGGACTTTGAAAGAAAATACATCGCTGAAATATATTCCCTAAATTATAATTTTCTCACAGATTCCATGTGTAAGGTGTGGTATAGGCAGGTCAAGAGGTCCTATTGAAATTTAGTAATTTTAAAAAAGTGATTGTTTAGAATCATACAAGCTCTTCAACTTGTTTCTATATTTTAATGCCCATTTTCACCAACACAAATATTATAGTTGATGTAAAGTTTAACTTCTTCCTTCTTGGCTGAAGATCCTCCATTCAAGTCATACAATACTGTGGTCAGCCTCTTTCTATACCATTCTCGTTTCATATTCGGAAACTTTCATCAATTCTTAGAAGTCACTACTACCATCTCGAGGTCCCATCACGCTTAACATCCATGGCCAATACTGTACAAGCTCATCTTCTCGTGCTTCTCAATCTGAACCCAACTTTGAAATCCACCCT